CTATCTATCTATCTATCTATCTATCTATCTATCTATCTATCTATCTATCTATCTGATTTATATCCCTCCCATCTGGCCTGACCACTCTAGGCGGCTTCCAATGAACATATATACAATAAAAACACATAGATTTTAGATAAACAATCCATAACAAATACAGTACTAAAAACAAATAATAAAGAAAGAAAGAATAAAGGAAAATTAAGTATTGACAGGAGGGAAGGCCTGAGTGTACATCCATGTTTTTAGTTGTCTCTTAAAGGTGCCCAGCGTGGGGGCCACACGAATCTCCGGAGGAAGGTTATTCCAGAGGCAAGGAGCCACCGCCGAGAAGGCCCAATTTTGTGTCTTTTCCTTCTGGGCCTCCCTCAGCGTTAGGCTCCTCAGCCTCACCTCCTGACTCGTGCGGGTGATCTGGGTAGATCTTGGTGGGAGCAGGCATTGTATGCCATGCAACTCACTAGATGAGTCTAAGCCAGTCTCTCTCTCTCTCTCTCTCTCTCTCTCTCTCTCTCTCTCCCAGCCCAACTTCCCACAGAGTTATTAGGGAAAAATGGGAAAGAGGAAAGCCATATACAATAATATTTTCACTGTATTTACTTACATTCCGTACTCAGATATACTTGCTTCAGCCCCCTGTATGTGACTTCAAGATGGCTATGCCTTGTAGTCCGTTGTCCTCTCTGGATAACCAAGTTATTTCGAACCGTGACAAGAGAAAAAAGCAGTAGGATAGCATGATTCCTAAGTATGGTGCCAACTGAAACACCAGGTTTCTATGGCATTCATATCTTCTGTATCGAGTGGAGAAAGAAATCTGGACAATCTATGTCATCTCTTCAACTAGATGGGCTGTTTCAAGATTGGATTCTGGTTGAGCCTGTGATTGTTTGTTGCTTTTTCCCCCCCAAACCAGTGTCCCCGTTTCAGTAGTTTTGTGGATGAATTAACTGGCTACACCACGAGGAACATCCTTGCAACCCCAATCGTGAATGGCAAAGATGTGGTCGCTGTGATCATGGCGGTAAATAAGACTGGCGGTCCTTTCTTCAGCAGTGCAGATGAAAGTGTAGGTACTCTGTCTATATACTTTGCCCCTTACGTTCTGAACTGTTGCTATACATTGTCAAACTGAATAGAATCTTCTTGTTTCTCAGCTTTTCCTGAAATATCTCAGCTTTGCAGCTTTGAACCTGAAGATTTATCACCTGAGCTACCTGCACAATTGTGAAACTCGAAGAGGTCAGGTGAGGAATAGTGTACCAGCCAGGACAACACAGTGGATAAAATCCAGTAGGAGGAATGAACCTAAGGTGGATGACCATCATCAGCTGCAGCGATTTTTTAGCAAATCAAAATGTCAGATCCCCTTCACTAAGCTCCCCGAGGCTCCCTTGGGATCCCTTTTATTATGGGAAAGCCACGGGGTGTGTGTGTCATGGGATGGTGGGAGGAAGCCTTTGATTTCCAAAAGCCATCACTGCTTGTAAAATCATCCTCATGGCTGCAGTTTTCAGAAATCAAAGGTAACTCCTTCCAGGACCAAAGCCTCCAAGGGCTTCCTCAGGATGAAAGGGATCCCAAAGGAGCCTCAAGACCTTTTCTGAGGTTGTTGGAAATTTTTAATTAAAGCAAATCATCAAAACTGATGACATTTTCAGCCTTTTGTGGTGTAAGTTCTACCACTGGATTTCAACCATTGTGTCTGTGGATATTCACATAATAAATTCCTTTAGGATTTCAGGAATGGCATGCCCTTTGCCATCTCTTTTGCAACCCACATGTAATAAATGAATAAAGTAATAACCACCTACTTTAACAGGAACCTTTTAAAATTCAAGTGAGCACAGATACAGCATTTTAAAAGAACGATGTGAGAGGTTGGAAAGCAACTTCATTGCTCACAGAATATACATTTTGTCTGGGTGGCCACCGACTGGCAAACATTATTCTCATGTTTCCCCAATGACTGTCATGATGCTGGTTTCAAAATAAATTTGTAGAAAGCTGTCATTTTAGGCCCATAATTTATTTTCAGACCTCTCCCCGCTCATCCATACCATGCCGCAGTCTGTCTGAGCTCCACTGCCTGCTGGTCAGAGCCTGCTGATCGAAGTCTTTGGGGCTGTGGTGTTAGTACAACAAATTCTGCCCTGCCTCTTTCCCTTATTGCTCTTGCTTTTCTCCTAACTCTGCTTACCTGCTTCTGCCACATGGGTCTTTATTTTTAAAAGCTGGCAAGCCTATCATGCCTGCCTCTTCCCTGCCAATAGCCTGAAAGGAGAAATGATGCTCCCAAATCTGCTAGCTGCCGGAATGCTTTACAGTTTGCCTTTTTTTTCCTGCAGGTTTTGCTTTGGTCGGCAAATAAGGTATTTGAGGAATTGACAGACATTGAGAGACAATTCCACAAAGCATTTTACACCGCGAGAGCCTATTTGAACTGTGATAGGTATTCTGTAGGTCTCCTGGATATGAGCAGACAAAAGGTAAGCTACATTCCTAAGTAACTTAAGATGGTTGGTGGCCCCAAAGAAACAGTGGTAGAAAACCCGGATTGCGTGTAAAGGGCTGTAAGTTCAATTACTGGCACTCTGTGTGAAACTGGGAAGGATTTGTGTCTGGAACCCTAGACTTTGGGGAACACTGAGGAAGAATAATAGAAATATAGGATCTATAAGGCCATCAAACCCAACCAGGAATCAAAGTCAGAGAATATGTTTTGTTTTACTTCTTTGGATTTGATCTGATATGGTTGCACAGGCTAACACAACTACCTCTTCCAAAACTATAACTTTCTCTTGAATGCCTCTAGTGTTGGAGTGCTCATCACTTCCCTAGGCAATTGGTTCCATTGTCATAGTGCTCTAACAGTTAAGACATTTTCCCTAATATTCAGGCAAAATCTGGCTTCCTGTAAGTTGAGCCCATTGTTACGTGTCCTGCAGTCTGGAATAACTGAGAATGTGGTCTATGGGATATCTTAAATCAATACCCATTTTAAGAGAAAGGCTTTCTATTGGCCTAATTACAGGGGCTGAGACACAGGAAGCAGTACAGTCTAAAGCCATGAAATGTGGGCACAGGGAGATCTTAATCCCTTCTCCCTAGCTGCTCCCAGAAACATAATAGGCAACTACTACGGGTCACAAATCTGACTGCCTTACTGATTCAAGACAGTGGTGTGGCGTTCAGCCTCATGCCCCTTTCTTGACTGTCAAAACTCAGAGCACACAAAGGCAAACAATCCCCTCTTTTACACTGCTGCCACCAGGTGATCACTAAATCACCATTACTTCAGGAAGATGAAGATTCAGGTCCACACTTCAAAGTCTTTTAAATATAACTTTGTTTATTGATTATAGTTATTGATATTGATTCATGAATATCTTCTTTAAGTAAATTTATTATTAACAACAACATTCTATTTGATAATGCACTCCTAACTCTAATCACACCTCAGAATTCCCCAAACTCCACACTCTAACTCCTTTTCTCTCACTCTTACTCTCTCTGTGACTCTGACTGACTCCTCTCCTGACTCAGGTTCTGCCTCTTATAAGATCTCGCTCAGCTCCACCTCTCAGCAACATGAATATGCATGAACAATTACATAACAAAACATGAACCATTGGCCTAATAAAGGGGAATGCTACAAGTGGTCAATCAAGTTCAGTAATATATATACTCTGGACTTCCTCAGCATCACTGGAGAGGTCTTTGCAGATTATTTAAGATGAGATAATCGTGGACTAAAATTATGACTTTCTCCATCCGAAATACATGATCAGCCACTGAACTCTTTAGCTGCCACTTCTACACTTTCTCTGTGAAACTATGCAAGTGGAACTATCTGTTTCTCTTTCTTTTAACAAATTTCAGGGAGCATGTGATGGGTACTTACATTTCTTAATATTTTCACTATTATGTTTGCCTCCTTTCCAGGAATTCTTTGACTTGTGGCCAGTTCTAATGGGAGAAGTTCCACCATATTCGGGACCTCGAACTCCAGATGGCAGAGTTAAGTCAACAAACAGTATAGAAATAGTTTCTTCCACTGGCTGCTCGCTTATTATGAATGGCAACTCTTATTTTTGTTCTGTTTACAGGAAATTGCCTTTTATAAAGTAGTTGATTACATATTGCATGGAAAAGAAGAAATTAAAGTTATCCCGTAAGTAAAAGGGACATATCACATCGACAGTATTTTTATGCACAGACATTGGCTATAGCACAAAGTCAAACCCTTTTGATCTAACCCAGAAAAGCATTTTCATTAGAAAGTATCAAAGGGTCAGTGTAGTGTAGTGATTAGAGTGTTCGATGAGATTAGATGAGTTTGAACTAGTTGCTATCTGACTTACCAACTTCACAAAGTAGTGAAGATGAAAGTATATGTTGTGGGAAGAGAGCCGTATAATCTGCCTTTAGCTCTTGGATGAAAAGGTAAAGGTAAAGGTAAAGGTTCCCCTTGACAATTTTTGTCCAGTCGTGCCCGACTCTAGGGGGCGGCGCTCATCCCGCTCTTCAAGCCATAGAGCCAGCGGTTTGTCCGAAGACAATCTTTCCGTGGTCACATGGCCACTGTGATTTAGACACGGAATGCTGTTTACCTTCCCACCGAGGTGGTCCCTATTTATCTACTCGCATTTGCATGCTTTCGAACCGCTAGGTTGGCGGGAGCTGGGACAAAGCAAGGGGGGCTCACTCCGTCGCGTGGATTCGATCTTACGACTGCTTGGTCTTCTGACCCTGCAGCACAGGCTTCTGCGGTTTAGCCCACAGCGCCACCACGTCCCCTCTTGGATGAAAAACAGAATAATATATAAAGGAAAACAGACAGAATAAGGGAGGGAAATGAACAGCACCTGTTTTGGTCCCTAGGGTTTGCATTTTAAAAAAAAGTTCCTAAAGACAAATATAAGACAATTGTCTTGGTGCTTTCTTTTGCTTTGATGGAAGGGGAATGCCCACCCGTCCCCTTCCCAGTGCCCCTGTGGCCTCTGTCCCTGCTCCTGCTGCCACCTCCTCTGCCTCCTCCACCACCATCCTAAGAGGCAGCAGGTCTTGCTTCCCTGCCAAGAGCTGGGCCAGCTGCCTCTGTGCTTACGCCTATCTTATGTACATATCAGCTGGGCAGCTCCATGATGGCAGCAGCACTGTGACAGGAGCAGGTAGGGTTCCCCCACTGGGCATGAATGAAAAACCAAACCATGAACAGATTCAGTTTTCTGGTTGGCTTAGTGTGGGCCATGATTCATGATGAACCATAAAACATCGCAGACCACCATTTGTCAGGTGTGTGAGCATTTCTAATTGTCTTAGAAAACTATCACAAAGTGTTAAAAACACAGCTGTTATTGTACTTCTATAGGAAATGATCCCCCATTCCTATTCATTGTCCAAATTATTTTTCATAGCTAACTAAAGTGTTAACACCAAAATCTAATTTGATGATCTTTTTGGTTTGTATTTTCTTTCCAATTTAGAAATCCTAAGGCAGATCATTGGGCATTGGTTAGTGGGCTCCCAACATATGTGGCAGAAACTGGTTTTGTAAGTACTTTGTTGTTGCTATTGTTTAGTCGTTAAGTTGTGTCCGACTCTTCATGACCCCATGGACCAGAGCACGCTAGGCCCTCCTGTCTTCCACTGATATTGAAAGGTCAGCCTCTTCAGTATTGGTCATTGGTGTATAATCTTGGATCACTATGATGCTGAAGGGTGTGCCTTGGATTCATATTGAAATCATTCTATCATTTATAGGTATTTACATCTGTATATTTTCATAACCCATCAAGACAGTGATGGCCAAAAGCTTAAGAGTTCTCTGCATGCAAGAGAGGTCTGAAATGGTTTTTCACAAATAGGAGCCTCTTATGGGAGGTAGCAAATTGCCTTATGAGGTCTTTAAATGTAGGCAAGACCAATCAGTCATTATGTTTCAATTATGCTATTAAGCTATTATACTTTTGCTTTAATTAACAGAACCTTAAATATACACATATATACCTGATGTAAATGTCTTTCTCATTTTCTAGATTTGCAACATTATGAATGCAGCTTCAGATGAAACATTTACATTTCAGGTATTGTATGAATGATGTTACAACAGTTCATTAGGTTCTGTCATTTGTATTCCCTAGAAAGAGAGAAATGACTGAAATCTAGTGTAAATATACCCCATGTAGTAATATGAAAACAGTACTGTCTGCATATAACAACCTGTTTAATTACATATTTACAATATGTATGCAAATGCAGTGGAATTATTTCTTATTGAGGCAACCTGCAGTTTAGCATTTGATCTGTTTCATGGCTATATGCTGTTTTTTAAAGGATGGACCTGTTGATGAATCAGGATGGATCATCAAAAATGTTCTCTCCATGCCAATAGTCAACAAAAAAGAAGAAATTGTCGGTGTTGCCACCTTTTACAACAGAAAAGATGAGAAACCCTTTGATGAACAGGATGAGACATTAATGGAGGTAGACTTCTTCAGTGGAGTTGAGAACACAACATGGATTCTTTAAATCAGCAGTCCTCAAACAGTTTCAGTCTGCGGACTGGCTGGGGAAGGGAAGGCACCACCACCCCGCGCTCGTGCGCATGCATGGACAAGCCCAAGTGCTCTCTCGCAAGGGCACACACTTGCTTATGTGCACGTGCAAACAGCAGCATGACACTTGTCTGGGGGTGCATGCGCTTGTGCGCATGCATAAATTGTGGTGCAGCGCTCACACAGGCAGGTGCAAATGGGCTGTGCAGGGGTGAGTGCATGCGGGGGCTAGGGCGGGAGCTCTGTCTCTGCGGCCTGGTCCATCTCAGGCCATGGATTGGTGGTGGGCCATGGACCAGGGGTTGGGGACCTCTGCTTTGAATGCAGATTACTCCTTACACAACTCAATCATATGGTGATATGCTCAGCACTGGTGCAGTTTGTGCAGAAAATAATAATAACCCGGCCAGCTAGCAGAAACCTTGGGATTCTTGCATCACGTGGGAAGCAAAGAATAAGGCTAGGCCCCATTTTTAAACAATCAATCTTATTTATTCTTCTTTTTTTTTTACTGTTTGTCTCTGTGCCCAAATCCACTGTCAGTGTTCACCAGCTGTATGAGTTGATTGCTCTGTTTATTGAACTAACTTCCTCAGCTTTATTAGGTACAGTGGACCCTCGACTTACAAAGGTCCCTACTTATGACAATTTCGAGGTACAAAAAGTTCTAGCCGCAAAATTTTGGTTCAACTTGTGGCCGGAGCTTCGACCTATGAAAGGCAGGGGGAAATGGCAGATAATTCAAAGCCACCCCCGCTGCCCTCTGCCTCCCATCTCCACAGCAGCGGAGGTGGAGTGCCTTTTGGCTTCCCGGGCTTCCAAAGCTGCACTCGCTGCCCTCTGTCTCCCATCCCCGGTGCCCTCTGTGTTCTATCCACACAGGGACAGAAGGCAGAGGGCAGTGGGTGCAGCTTTGGAAGCCTGGGATTTTTTTTTCTTTGCCTGGAATGGATTAAATGGTTTTCAATGCATTCCTATGGGAAATGGACCCTCGACCTACAGACTTTTCGACCTGTGGCCACTGTTTGAATACAGATTAATTCCGTAAGTTGAGGGTCCACTGTACAGTTCAGCAGTGCAATTGTCTTTACCTCCAGTCTCTCATTCTTTCTAATTCTATTTTATGCTTATTTTACCTTATTTCTTATTTTATGCTTATTTTATCATCTTTGGACCTTCTCTGCTTCATTATTCCCTATGATCATCAGCAAATTATCTTGGTCCCCAGCTCAGGATTTATCTACTTCTGTCCTTAACTTCTCTTTATAACTGGATCCCACTCCCTCCTTCCTTCCTCCATCTTCCTTCTACAAAAAAATCTTAACGATGTATATTTCCTCTTATTTGTTAAATGTTGACTGAGACAGCCTTAAGTTAGAATAAACAGATAGCCTTTTCCTCCTAGGGACACACTGTTTCTAGATAAAGAATCAGTGTCTAAAACAGCAAAATCATGTGAAGATTAGCCCGAAGAAAGAACTGTCATCTCTCTTCCCCCAACTCCCCAAATCTTTTGGGCTTGCTTTGCAAAATCTGCTGTAGTTTTACAGCAAACCTTTGAGACAACGATATTCTTTGTTTTTAAGCTGATAAACAGCCCCTTGGACACAAGTATGGTTAAAGTGGGGAACAGGTCCAGGAATGGTTGGACATACTGTATTGTACAGTACTAAATGATTCCTAACTGAGGTCTTGGAAAGGAAAGAAAGATCAACCGCTCTTCAGCTCCTCCAGTGACTTCATTTTTAAATTTTTATTTTACCAGTCTTTAACACAGTTTCTTGGATGGTCTGTGCTCAATACTGATACTTATGATAAGATGAACAAACTGGAGAACCGGAAGGATATTGCGCAAGATATGGTGCTCTACCATGTGCAATGTGATAAGAATGAAATTCAAGCCATCCTGGTATGTGTTTTAAAACTGCTGCCCATCCATCTTCTTACTCTCCCTCTGCCCTCCATTTGTTGGTAGAATCCCACCATTTCAACTGCGAATGGACTGAGAAGCATTCCAAGTTTGAATAGGGTTTGTGCTGACCTTGCTATTAGACAAACTAAGGCAGCACAGATCAGCAAACCCTCCCAAGTCATAATTTTGTGTGTATTTAACAACAATAACAACACCATAATAATTTATCATACAGTATGAGTAGAAGGATGCCTTCTGGATTTTCTCCGTTGGTCATAACTTTGCCGTGCCTTTGTTTCCACAGCCAACGCGAGAAAAGCTTGGCAAAGAGGTGGCTGAATGTAAGGAGGAAGAGTTGACAGCAGTTCTAGTGAGTGTCTTTATGCCTTATCATCATAGATCTTAACTTTACTTTGAAATATAACCAACCTAACCTGGGAAGCATTCCATTCTGCTCCACTTTGCCAGCAGAGTTACCATATAGCCAGAGAAAACTTGCAGCATGGATCCTTTCATAGACGTGTCATTTGCACGCATCTATGTGTGCCCAGGAGACTAGTTACAAACAGTCTTTTAATTCTTTAAGGATGACGGTGAAAGGCAAAATGAATATTATCTCCCAATCCTCCTCCCTAAATCGTAGTTTTGTTGTGAGACAATGATATTCTTTGTGCACACATTGAAAGGATCAGCATGGCAGCCACGTAACTCCCACTGTTGGGAATGTGAGAAGCACTTGTTGTTTCTGTGGTAGAACTGATACCATATGAGCAAGTGATGCCATTGTTTCCCTTCAGAAAGAACAGCTTCCAGATCCTGAAGAATATGAGATCTATGACTTCCACTTTTCTGATATCGAATGGACTGAACTAGACCTTGTGAAATGTGGCATTCGAATGTACTATGAGCTTGGAGTAGTGAAGAAATTCCAAATCCCACAAGAGGTAAGTGGCAATCTTTATCTGCAGGCCAATCTCCATAGTCATCCGAAGTGAGAATGCACAACATGAGTGGTAAGCTGTTCAGTTCCACACTCACTTCATTTCATGCGATTATTTATGCCTTGGCGTTCTGACAAGGTGCCTAAAGTGGATCCAAGGCTGAAATATGGATATCACCTGTTTTGGGGGCAGATGTATGCATTTCAAAGCTGATTCAAGCAGAGCAGCAACTGGTTCTGGCTTCGGGATAGCTCTGTGGAGTGCTATTTATCTGCCCCTACTAATAAAAATAACAAAATCGTTTTGCCTCCATGATCCAGAGCAACATTTCACATTTTAAGCAATAGAGTGGTTTTTTTCCTAAGCACCAAAGATACGTTGAACTATGTGAAGAAGCTAAGTGCCTGAAATAGAAGGAAAATTGAAAACAACCCAATATCTAGGATCAATGGCAAAATCCATGCTGGATTCAGAGCCAGGTATTTATGTCATGGTGGGGTAGGTGTTTACTCACAGTTAATACCATACCAACTGCTGTAGAGGAGACATGTTCATGCAATTTTAGTCTTGTTTTCCTTATTTTGAAAACATGAGTGTGACAGGAAAAGGGCAATGTGTTTTTACAGCAGAGTGGTATTAGGAATGTGTAAAAGCCAGAACTGACTGCGCAAAAGCCTTTGACTCTGTGGAACACAGCAAACTATGGCAAGTCCTTAAAGAAATGGGAGTGCCTGACCACGTCTATCTCCTGAGAAATCTATATGTGGGACCGGAAGCAACGGTTAGAACTGGATATGGAACAACTGATTGGTTCAAAATTGGGAAAGGAGTATGACAAAGCTATATACAGTATTGCCCCCTGCTTATTTAACTTATATGCAGAATACATCATGCAAAAGGCTGGACTGGAGGAATCCCAAACTGGAATTAAGGTTGCCGGAAGAAATATCAACAACCTCAGATATGCAGATGATACCACTCTGATGGCAGAAAGTGAGGAGGAATTAAAGAACCTCTTAATGAGAGTGAAAGAGGAGAGTGCAAAAAATGGTCTGAAGCTCAACAT